ATGTGGGGAATCAACAGCAGAGCAGCTTGTGCTCAGGGGTGTTGTAAAAGCATCGTAAGGAGCAAACATGGGATCAAATTTAAGTTAGAAGAGATCTKGTTAGTCCAGTGACATGAGGGAAGGCAAAAACAAATCAGACTGTGTGGTCCTGGGCCAGTAGGACAAGAGAGGAGGATTTGCTCCCCTGATTTGGCAGTGATTTTTCTTTCCCTGCATTTCCCCCCCACTTATTCCCTGTATTATCTAAAAGAAAGATGTCAGCCAGAGCAGGTTGCTTCTTGCAAGCTTTGTAAGCTTGCTGTTATCACATTGCTCATTACTGCAGATTTCAGTATGGCCAGAGTGCTCAAACCTTTGGGGCAGCTATTTGGTCACGCTAAATCCAAGGAATTTGGTTTGGAATGATGGGGCTGGATGGGGAAATGTCATTCTCTGTGAGGTGAAAAACACTCCTTTTTTGAAGCATGAAGCAGAGCACCAATGATCTCCTGAATCTTCTTCTTTTTTCAGGAGAGTTAAAGGCTCCGACATCAGACAGTATGTGCCATTGGCAGGAATCATCTTTGCTCTGGTGCAAGTCTGTAGCAAGGAAATATCTACCATTTATTTTTCTGTTAATTTTAATAACCTCCATAAATGTCTTATGTTTCCCTCAAGATTGGTTGTCTTCAGATCTATTTCTCATAGCTTTTTCCTGCTAGAGACTCTCTCAAATCTTTTTTACATCCCACGTCTGGACTAGGGACTTGCTTGCCCAGTTCAGCAGCTCTGGAGACTTTTTTGTTGTATACCAGCTCATACAACAGCTTGTATCAGGGTAATATTTTCCAGGTTTCCCGCAGCTAGTTTTCAAGGATTAATTTGAACACTGAGAAGTATTTTGAGACCTGTTAATGTGCAGTCCCTGTAATGGGGAAATGCCTTTACGGAAGCCAGGGAGCGTCCCAAGGACTCGATGCACTGGGATGTGCTGGCACCTCCTATGCATTTGCAAGATATTTTTATTACTAACTGTATTCCAAATAACGAGCATGAAGTTTAAAACTGTGTGTCAAGCTAGCAATTTGAACAACACTTTCGTACTCCCACTTTATCATATCTTTTAATGTGCACCATTGGGAATTATTGAGAGAAAAGTCAGAAAAAAAGTAAGGAGAGTTTTATTTTCCTATTATTAGTTCCTCTAAGAAAAAGAGGTTCTGCCTTCATTGTCATTAATGGTTTGAATAGTTCTCTTTCTTACTTTATGATCTTAGAGATCATCTTGAAGAACAGTTTTGTTCACAACTTGTCCACAAGCAGTGAACAATAAAATTTGGCTTAAAGTGCCTGTCTGAATGAAGAAGCCTCATAATTTAGGTCTGCCTCAGTTAAAACAATTTGTTACCATTGGTAAATTTTGCCAACTTATTTTTCAGCTCTACTTTTCAGATCATTAATAAATATTAAACCAYAACAAAGAAACCTCTTACACTGTTCATCTTACACTATGGTGAAGTTTGCACTGTTCATCTTTTCTTTTCTTTYYTTTTTTTTTTTTTTTTTTCCTGACCAATTTCTAATCCATGGACTCTACCATTTGCCCTGTGGTTACTTAATTTCCTTGATAACCTTCCATTAGGGCATTTGTCTGCAGGTGACAGCTCCCAGCGTGAGGTTGGAGAGGAGTGACTGAAACCATTAGAAGTTTGATAGAGCCTACTGAAGCAAGGAGGAGCTTGTTAKAGCCAATTACACAATTTAGCTGCTTTTAAAAACTCTAAAGAGTCAGCTCTGAAATTCTTAGCTGAGTTAAACAAGGGAAGCAACCTATTATGTGAGGGGAAGAAAATATGTGAAAGCCATTTGACTTTGTGAATGTCAYGGAGAGTATCACCAGAAAGCAGGCTTAACAATATTGTCAGTTCTGCAAAGAAGGAAATATCTTSAGTGGGATGTAAGTTACTGCCTCTGAGGGTCTGTCTTTGGGGAGGATGAGCGGATGGTAACGTTTCAGACTAAGGGTGAAATATTTGACTTCAGCGTCACCAGCCCCGCTTGGGCTTTGCTCCCTCCTGCCTGTGATCAGCGGTCTTCAGGAGAAGACAAATCTACCTGAAATCCAGTTTGGAGTTCATGCATGACAGATCCATTTCTAGTGTTTTGGAACAACYTCTTAGTGATAGTGGGTGCTCTTCTTAGGAAAAAGAGACATGAAAGAAGAAACCTGCTAGAGCAAGTACAAATACATGTATTTGATCAATAAGGGCGCTGGAAGAACAAGAGCAAAATTTGGGAGATTTGGGCAGGTTTGTGGAATAATCTTGATCAGTAGATTAGAGAATACTCTGCCACTTGTGTGCACTGGTCTTTTGACTTTATGACAASACCTAATGTTGCTTCTTTCTAGTGTGCAACACTAGTGTGTCACACTGAATGCTTTTGTTGTTATTTATAAGTAATAACAGGGTCTACAAAGTTGTGAAATAGTTGATTGAAATGTGAGCTGTCAAAATGATGAGTCTGGTTCTGCTGGAAGATGGAAAATGTTTTTGTTTGTGTCTAGATAACTGATCAAGAGCTCACTGTGCCATTGGCATAGCACATGCATAAACCAAAAAGATGAATCCACCTACCCCTCCAAATTCTCCCCATCCAAAAAGCTGATAAGAAGACTTCATCCTCCAGCTTATCTGGTCTCTTCATAAGCACCACGAAGGGCTTATGGAGGATGCTTATTAGATGATGCTAGAACATCCTAGAATTTATAGTACTTTCTTTTAGATTGAACACAGCAAGATGTCTCTCCTGTTTCTCTGGAGTCTCAAGATACCGTGTACATTATCAGTACCTGATAAGCATTAAATTTCTTTCTGCACTAGTTTGTCACGTCCCGTTGCAGCTATTCTGTGCAATATTCAAAGCATTCTCTATACTGAGCGTACAAGGACTTACTGCGTTATCAGGTAAAGGTAACTAAAATTGGATAAAAKCGTGAGATATGTTTAAAAAAAAAAGGTGCCATCAAAGCAATCATTAAACATAGAAGACAAAGCAGTGCAAGAGAAGAACCTTCTCTGTGATACGTACAGAAAAACCATTCAATGTMATTTCTTCAACCTTTGGACAGCAACCAAAACAAGCTTGACTGCTAACTGACATTAAAAATAGGGGCTGGACAAGAATTTGCTGGATATATGAAAAGCAGGACAGTTTGTGTATAAAAAGACTGCACTGGATGCCTGGAGTGAAAATGCTAATGCATAAATAAATAAGGGAATTGACTGTTAGAATAATCAGAAAATATAACGATCTAATTCTTGCTTTGCATAAATAACAGGCAATTAACTTTCATTGACTCACGATGTGAAGAGTGATCAAAAGATGTAGATCTTTTGCTTTGGTAACTGAGTCTGTCAGCTGGGAAGAATGCTTTTCTCGACAGTTGATTAGGGGTTAAATGAGCTGAATAAAATTGGTAATTTTTGCTGCTTTCCCCACTTAGTGTAGCAGCTATTATATGAAGCATTTTTCCTTACGTTAGCTGTGGCCACTAGCTTTACCTGATTAGCTCTGTTAAAAGAATTCATTTTGATTGACAAAGGTGTCGTTTTGGTATTCTCAGCATGAGCAAAAATGTCCAGTACATACCGGATCAGTGCTTTTATTTATTTACATTGATAGCTCTTGATTTGAGTCCGTTCTTAAGCAAACTGCTGCTCTTAGTACCTGCTTGCAGCGGGCTTGCAGCAGCCTAGATGATGAAGGAAGGAAGGCTTGCAGCAGAAAGGACCACCAGCATCTCCAAGCTCCTTGATGTGGTGCCTGCTGAAATCTATAGGGAARTACAGTGAAGTTGGGGTCCTGCAGAGCAAACAGGCAGCACCTCCCAACACCCTCTTTCAAACCCCCTTTGGCATCACGAGCCTCCTGGAGATGCTGGATTGAGCTTGAAGTGAACCGGCATCRCTTCCATTTGGTGCTCACTGGCTCTAGGTGATGGGAAAAGAATACAGGTGGGAGAAAAGAGAGCACATGATGACCAGGGGCAACAGGGAAAGCCCCTGTTTTCCAGGGGAAAATCCTAGAACCCCCCCAAAATACCTAAGTGAATTCTTATCTTGCTGCAGTCAATGGTTGTATTTAAAAGGGCACTGATCAGGAAAGACCCTCTTGCAGTTCCTGAAAGGACCAGCGTATTTCCTTTGGGAGCAGGGTAACATGGAGGGATTGCTGTGGAGAATGGTTATATAAACCAAGCACGGGGATTTTGGGGGTTGCTTCTCTTATTAGGTGCAGGAACTTGAATTGCTGCCCAGCGCAACGTTGTTTTGATCATTTTTTTGATTTGTGGATTCACTTCCTCCCACATATTTTTTTTTTCCATAAACAGTATTCATCTCTTATTTAATGATCTTAAGGCTGCAAGCAACTTGATTTYGTGGCCATCTTAGAAGCAGCTCGTGCATTTAGGTTAAAACACACCGTGTGCCTCCAAACCAAGACGTCTGCTACCACTGCTGCAACGCGAGTCCCTGGCGCACGGCACGGGGCACTGCTTGGTGCCTTTGTCACCGGATACAAACTAGCCTTGTTTGGATAAAGAATGATATTCTCAAAGGCCAAATAATCAGGATCTTTGGGAAAGCAGGGTAATATTTGTTGGTCTGCATAGAGATGATGACTTCTCTACTGACAACCTCCTGGTTGGCTGTGGCTCAGTGTCTTGTGACATGGGGGAAAGCAGCAGTTCACGGCTCCTCTGAAGGGGAAGCAGACGTTACACTTGGAAAACGTGCTCGATTATAGTCTTAGGGTGATTTATTTTTTTAAACTTTAAATCAGAAGAGAAACACTAAAACATCAACAGGAAATAAAACATTTTTATTGGATATCTGTGTAATATGTATGTTATTTTAACGACAATTGGAAAACTACTGTGGGAAGTCACTACACAAAGTGAAACAAAATATAAACCACCTCATCAAAAATGAAGGTAAAATACGGCTAAAGTTGTCAGCTCGTGGGCCACGAGCGAGTATGGCAGGATAAAACACCCCAAACATTTCTACAAGATACAGAGAAAACCCACACAGAGAAACACTCAAGCAGGCAGTAAATATACACAAAGGCAACTAGGATCTTTCTACAGCATCAGATTCTAATACTTCACACAGCTTTGTCAGAAAGGTACATGTGGCTTCTTTGAGGATGAAAATGTCATCTTGGTCATCGAGCAGGTTCAGTGTCTGCGAATCACAGCACTTTACAACCGAATTCTGTGGTGACATTCAGTCTGGCAGTGTAGGAAGAGAAAGCGTTGCGAATTACCCTAGCACAATGCACCGGCGCTGGCAGCTCGAGCCCGCGGCTATCCTGAAKGAGCAACTTACAGGTTGGTTTCATGGAGCTGAATGGCTGCTCTCACGCTGGGAATCTGTCTGGCTAGCTCTTCTGCTCTTTGGTGGGCTTTGGTCCTTAAGGTTAAGATTTTTTAAAGTATTCCAGCTTGATGCTTTTGCATGTATGCGCCTGTTTAGATCGGAAAATGTCTCACTTGTGTTTTTTCCATGTTTCATGTAAAAAAATAGAAAAAATGTGTCTTGCTATTCTTACTCTTGGAGGTGGGGAGCAATTCTGTTCTTTTTTATTTATTTATTTATTTTTAATTCTCCTCCCCTTTCTTTGCTGCTTCCTTTACCTCAAGGTACTGACACTGTTGGTGTTGGCCATCCCACTGACCCCTCAGAGCTGGAGGTTGCAGAATTTAGCTTTCAGTACAGAATTAAGCGATCACATCCATCTTTTTTTTTTTTGTTTTGTTTTCTTCTTCCTCTTCCTAATAATTTGTTTTAGACACCATTGCTAAGATGATAAATAGCATCTCATGCCTCCCTCCAAAAGGTATAGCAGTTCCACATTTCTGGGGTAGCTTGTGGTGCTGAGAACAATGAATCTTCAAAGCATTATAAAGATATTCACAGCTTGGGAAGATAAACAGGGGGCCTCACAGGATGCTACGTAAGATGGAAGCGATGCCCTACATGACTCGGGGGGGACGCTACGAGCAGCGGTGCCGTCTAGCCGTAAGGTGACTGTCTACAGGAGAGAGGGCTGGGGAAGGGCGTTGGAAATGGGAAATATTGCACAGGGCTTGACAAAATGCTGCGTGGTCAACCCAGTCTCTATAACATCCTTGTCCCCTGCATGGCTCAGCAGTTCGGAATTGGTCCGCGGTAGCTAGAACGGCGTGGGCCATGCGCTCCTTCGGCAGTGCAGTAGAAGGGAATGGCAGTATTCTTACAATATCACTACGGAATAAATTGATTGCTATCCACTGAGAAAACTACATTTCTAAGCACACACGGCAGTCACAGTGATACACAGAGCAGTCTTTCAAGACTCTTATGGAATGACTAATAGCTTCATAATAGTGCCATTTACTACATAATAACATTGAAAACATTTAAAAACTCCTCCTGAAACGAGCATCTAGTATACAGAAGAGGTTGCTTCAGTTTTCTAGAACTTGTTCTTTGTTTGTTTTCACTTTTTTTTTTAAAGGACAAATTAAAACTTAAGTATAAATAGTATATAAAAGGTCACTAGCTGTTCTCTTTTGGCTTACTTTGAAGTGCATTTAGAACTATGGCTAAATTTTGTCATCTTCTGATGGGATTACAATACTGTCTGTTTACCATGAAACTATTTCGTATAATAAACTCACACTGCTATGTCTAAAAAATATTCTGCATTCCTTTCTTAGTCTGAGTTAGTATAATAAAATATTTCGTTACAAAGTCTAATGTGCAAACTCATTATCGGGTGAAATCGCGGATGGAATTCACAGTATGCAAATTTTGTATAAAGGTGATTGATAACGGAGAGCGACGCTTGGCTTGAGGGCAGCAGGGCCCCACTGCAGAACCTGCCCCCTGGGCCGCCCCCCAGCCCTGCACACCCCACACGCGGCCCCTTCGGGACGCCCATGGAGCTGCTGCCTCCTCCGGAGCTGCTTCCTCAGACTTTCTATCTAAAGCCATTCCCGCCTGTTGTGTGTTCGCTTTGGAATATATTTACAGGAAAAGAACCGCTCTCCTGGCTCCTCGAGGTCAGCCCCGGAGCTGCTCAGATCACACTAAGGTGCCCGGGAAACCAGTCTACCAAGTGGGATCTGCCCCTCCAAGATTCACTGCGGACACGGTGCCTGTTATTAGGATGGTTCAGTTGAAAGCTCAGATTTAAGTTGTCCTTTAAGATGTCAGTGTTACACTACTAGTGCCTTACAAGTTGTTTTTTTTTTTTTTTCTGGAATGCAGACGATACAATAGTTACCCTATAATATATTATCAGCTCTCCTATATCTCAGTCAATTTACATAATTTAAAATAGAACATCTTATTAAAAACATCTAGATATACACAGATTAGGAAACGCTTACAACATACAAATACACAAACTAGAAATAAATTCTCAGCATACTGGTGTATATATACAACTGTGTGATACAATAAATAATTTCTGTCATGCTCTATCTACACATCATATTGCTTAAAAGAAGAGTAGATCTGGGGGGCGGGGGGCAGTGGTGAAATGAAGCGCCCTTGGAGGGCTCTCTACATTTAAAGTTGTGCAAATTAAAACAGGGTTTTAAAAGTAACAACCGATCCGTGTCAGGAACACATGGCTGGAAATGAAAGGACCCATATTACTGAGGTATTTACAGATACTGGCTAAAGAGCACTATGTGGGCAAATGCAGAAAGGCTTCTTCTTATTTCTTCTTCTTCTTCTTCTTCTTCTTGTGTGTGTGTGTGTGTGTGTGTGTGTAACTGAAATTGGACTGCATTTACTTCTTGACGGCCAGCATGGCGTCGACCTCCTCCTCGGGCTGCAAGGTGTGCCACTGCGCGATGGGCCGCCGCGGGTTGGCCAGCATGTCCGACCAGTGCCGCAGCTCCGCGCCGGTGCTGTTGTAGCCCACAAACACCTTGCCGATGGCATCGTTCTTGCCAATCTTGTCATAGTCCAAAACAGTCACAACTATTTGCACTTTCTGCAAAGAGAGGCACGGACAGAGAGCAGTGAGCGCGCGGGGAAGGGGCAGCATCCACTCAGGCTGGAGGGCTGCAAAGCAGCCAGAGCAGAGGGCCCCCAGCACAAGGACATTCAATTCGGAGCTTTCAGCGTTTGCTTCTTGTGACCCTTCCAAATAGAAGCAGGTTCATACCCACCTCATCCATTTGCCCCCTTGCACTGAAGAACCTCATGTAGGAATCAGGCAGTGTTTTTCCCTTAACAGATAGGTAACATGTGGGTTTTGCTGTTGTTTTTGAGGAATTAGCTCGTTAGAGGTCTGCAGAGCTAATAGCAAGATCTGAAGCTAAGCTAAATGGAAAGTAGTGTAATTTAACACATCATTACTAGGTAAGCTGAACTCAGCAGGGGCAATACCCAAACAGCTCCGCTCCAAGGGATCATTGGCAATGTTTTAACTTTATCCTCTTGGTTGCCCTTCCACATCTAACCTCTGTCCCAGCAACCCAACATGCTGGTCAGCCACTTGCTGTTAAATTCAGAAAACGATGGCCCACACAGTTTATATACAGTTACATATACATTTGTGTGCATGTATATATACACATGCATGAGTGTGTATGCGTGTGCATGAATATGCATGTAACAGAGCTGAGAAAACAGCCTTTTCACTCCGGGGCAGTGGAAAGCAGTGTAAAAGACGGAGTCTCAGGGCTGTGACACAGCAGCTCGGCCAGCAGCAGTGACCTCTGGCAAACCCGGCTCAGCTCTTCCCACAGCACCTGCGAGGGCCCATCTCCTGGGGCTCATGGACCACTGCCCAGGCCYTTACATTGGGCTGTACTGCGAGGGGATGCTCGAGGTGGGTGTTCAGGCATGGGTCTGCATGCACACCACTCATTCCGCTCAATCCACTCATTCATATTGGTCAGAGGAGCCTGGGCAGCTCTTCCTCCAGCAGCGTGGTGTTTTCCTCAGCAGCATCTAAGACTTTATAGCTTTGGACCGATCTTGCTTAGCTGTAAGTGCTTGTCCTCTCACACTTTAATTTTTAAAGACAAATGTGCAGCTGTTTTCCTGACTCATCCCATGATAAATACACACAGCTCCTCATCCCACACACAGGTTTCCTTACTTGGAGAAAGAAGTGCATTGAAACACACTTCTTCCAGAAAAGTCTTTATGCTCAAACATCAGGCTTTTAAATTTAGACTTTTAAATAAAAGTAGATCCTGGAGTTCTTAGCAGCACATTTAATTTCATTGCTAGTAATAGGATGAATCTTTTTTAAGAGTAATTTACTCCTTTAAGCATGCCTGCAAGACCAGACTCATGAGGTTCCCTTAGAAGATTGTGCAAATCACTGAGCCAGAGAAAGGGATGCTTCCAACAGGCACAGAAGTATTTACATAGCTGCTGATGACAAAAGGGCACCTCTGACTCAAGACTCTCTCACAACAGCACTCATTTGCATTTCCATTTGCAATATCCTCCCTTTTAATATTGATAGTACCTTCCCAAATTCCTCCCCAAATGAACATCTCTGTTGTAGATGCATAGTACAATCACAAATAGAGAAAGCAGGCATGAGGCTTTTATTTCAGGGGACCAAAAAGGTGCCTGCTGTACCTAGAAGATAGTTACTATTGGCTTTTTTGTTGTTGTTAATGATAGCAAAACAAAGGGCATTGTAAGGAAAGATGCATTTATCGATCCATAAAGCAGTCAGAACAGCTGGCTCTGACGATTAACACTTGAGATGCCTTTTGGCTCACGGAGTCTGGCTTAAACATACAAGGAAATGTGTGAGCATCTCTGCCCCTTGGTCCTGTACATTGAAGAAGCAGCTGTAGTGCCAAAACCAAGTGATGCTAGTGAAAAGCATCCCTTCTGCTAAGCTACACTGTGATGAGATAAGTTTCTTTGGTGAGAAGGGGCACTCCTGGGAGCAAAAGGTTCTGCAGACACGATCACTTTGCTACATACAGCATGTGCTTGGTGGCAAAATGTGATTAATCTGCCGTGATCAATCTGGCTCAGCTTCGCAGAGGGAGCTTCCATTGCCTTGTGAGATATAACTTCACTTCCAAGGTTGCGCTTTGAAACCTGGTGCTCCACTTCTTCCCACTATTCCTTCTTCTGTGACAGKGCACAGCTCTAACTATGCACTTACACACCCTTAAGAACCAGAACCTGTATTTGCTATTAAATTGTTGAAAAATGTTGATGTGGGCCTCTTTTGAAATTGTCTGGCTGCACTGCTCTGGAGCTGCTTTTAGCACAAAATCAGGCCATCTCTCTTGTCTTTGCTTTCAAACCATCATGAAACGCGAATAACTGTTATTTTCTTATTTGATAGTGAAAGTTTGCTTAATGACTTATGCATGAATTACCCAAAGGTCACAGTGATTCTTACACTATTAATTCTAAATAACATTTAAAATGTGTTCTTTTTCWAATGATGAAATCACTTTAGAAACCATAATGAAATCATTTCTAAATAGAGTCTTTTATAACTAATTTCAAAAAACACTGGCATATGACCAAAGCCCATAATTACAGATTTTAAACTGAGGCTATATACTGAAGTAAATAGCTCTAAAGTCAGCCCAATAAACCTGCCAAAATATAAAGCAAAATTCTGTTTCTAAAAGGCTTATGACCACTTTTCAAAACATGTTTAGCATTAGAAGACGAAATGGCCAAGCATCTAGAAAACAAACCTACCCCTACCAAAGTTCTGGCTTATTATGATATAATATTAAGACGCTTATGAGGAAAGACTAAGYGAGCTGGGCCTGTTTAGCCTAGAGAGGAGAAGACTGAGAGGAGATCTGATCAATATGTACAAATACCTGAGGGGAGAATGTAAAGAAGATGGAGCCAAGCTCTTCTCTGTGGTGGCCAGTGGCAGGACAAGGGGTAATGGGTATAAATTGAAACACAGGCAGTTCCATCTCCGTTTGAGGAAGAACTTCTTCCCTGTGAGTGTGACAGAGCCCTGGCACAGGCTGCCCAGGGAGGCTGTGGAGTCTCCTTCTCTGGAGATCTTCCAAACCCGCCTGGATGCCGCCCTGTGCCCCGTGCTCTGGGTGTCCCTGCTGGAGCAGGGGGTTGGACTAGATGATCCCTAGAAGTTCCTTCCAACCTCATGTGTGATTATGAGATTCTTCACAATCACACTAACTTCCATTAAAGTCAATGGGAATTATGTACCACTGGACTTCCCATTTTTGGATTCCTAAATTCCACAGATACTCTATGGGATATGAAAAAAAAACCCTCCTACATGACCTAGTCATGTTTCCAAGTCACTATTCCCAGGCCTCACCTTGTCTACTACAATCCAGAATACAGACCATCACAATCCTTACTGTACTCCCATCTCATCAAGAAGAGGCTGTAAGTTCCTAAGCCTAAGATTTTTTTTTCTAAAATTGGCTCTTAACTCCAAATTTGGGCCAAGACATTAAAATCCTGGCAGTAGCAGGGAATCTAAAAATTCTTCCTTCATTATTTAAGAAGACACAGAAGTGTCACACTCCTACCACAAACCCTAGCCACATCAGAATATGTGCTTGAGGCTTTGAAGACACAGGTTGGGAGGGCAGGGATAGGATGTGRGTTTCCTACATGTCTCTACGGTGGAAAAGGACACCTCCACCCCTCCTGCTGTGGGAACAGATTAGTTAAAATTAGGAAAMGTTAAATCCCAAGTAAGAGATGACTTAGATACCTGCCTGTGGGCTACTGAGAACTAAGTCCCTGACACAAACAGCACGATCCCTTCTACTGCATTTTCTATGACAAGYGAGATGACTTCCCTCTGGAAGTATCAGCTGGCCTCTGAGGGATCCCAGTTTAGGCAGTGGGCTCTCCAAGAAGAGTCCCTGGAGAACACCTGGGACTACGACTCCACCGAGCTGCAGCCCTGCTGATACTGCAGCTCTGACCGCTGGGATTGTCAAATGTCCTCCCAAGGGACTGAGAAAACATTGAAGAAGTTTTCATGATATGGTGGAAGACTGAAAAATACTTGTGATTAAATAGCATGTTTTACTTAAGATGGATGCTGCAACGCTTTCAACAAGCAGGAAATATAAATACATAGGCAACACAAATGTGACCAATGATGGCAACTTAGCATTCCAAACAATATGGGGAAAATTGTTGCATCTTCACTATCTCCCTGTGAATTCTTTTTTTTCCAGAATCCATTTCCGTTAACACAAAATATAAGTTATCCATGTCTCACTGATGAATCAAAGCGTCCTAAGCACCGTGCATTTTATCTGCTCTCTCTTGAAGCAGTCACACTCATCTAATGCAGCACAGGGCTGGCACCTAGGTGCTAATGAAGGCATGAGCACGTGATAATTARCAAGGTTCCTGTTAAACATTTATTAGGGTTGAGAAATAGAAGGCAAAGAGAAGACAAAACACTGCTTGACATTACCTGAATTTGCTCGAAGGGTACTTCAAAGCTGAACGACTCATTGTAGTAGGGATTCAGAGTGTTCTTCTTAATTGTTGTCTTTTTCTTCTTCAGCCTCTTGCCATTCTGCATCAGGTGGATTTTCACATAGGGATCTAGAGAATCACAGAGGAGAAGAAGGGCTAAGAAAGGCAGCACTCTGCATGTTTTCAACAGATTTTAATCCTCCAGATCTGAAGAAAGAAAAAAGGAAAGAAATATCTCCAGCCACAAACACCTCATATTTACACAAAGGCTTCATTTCCTTTACCTGAAATGTGGGGAAGGAAAATAACTCCTGAAAGATTGCAAAGTGCTCCTGGTGGAATAAGCACAGGCTTTTAYTGCACTATCTCCTTAGCAGCAGGAGGCAGGCATAAATTCCCACCTGGTTTTATTCTCTGCTTCTCGAGTTGTACTGGACATGTTTTCCTTAAATGTTATTTACTTACTGGAAAAGTTTCTTTGCAATAGGGCCTGCACCATGGGGTGGTTTTCCTTAAGTGCTCCGGTTGCTGCTGAAATCAAGTGCACGGCAATGTGGGCACAGAGCATCTGGCCGCACTCTTGCTGCCTGCCACCTCTTCCCACTGCTCTCCTGGGAGGATGTGGCTGGTTTTTCCCATCTWTTCACCACCCTGGTGGGTTGTGACTGACATAGCGGCGTATCCATTAGTCTGGCGTGCAGCCAGATTGCATTTAAGGACTTTGTCCCTTAAACACCCATTCTGTGTCTTAGTGCTACATGGAGCGACAGTAAGGCTTGGGCCACAAAATCCATATAAATTATGAAAAGTTTTTGTGACTCTCTACTGACTTCCCATCGTTATTTTGTGTAATTTCTGGAGGCAAGTAACAGAGCTGATTTAGTTCCTCATCAAATATTTCTCACACAAGCAAAATTCTCATTGAGGTTGCTGCTGTGAAGTGATACCTCCGTGGTTACACTTTCAAGGGAAAGTTTGCTTGCTTAGAAAAATAGAGGTATCAGTCTTTTACCTGATGCAGGAACCACATTTCTATTTAGAGAAATAACTCACAGCTCCTCTGTCATGGTGGTGTAAATTAGCAGTACTGTCACTATGAGCTCAATCACCTTCTCCTTTTGGTCTAGGTTTAGCAAGAAACTCTGTTGGAAGAGAGTGAAGCTCAGCTTTTCCAACAACCAGCATGGTACATCCAAATCTGGGCAGGCTGCCTCTCCTGGCTTTAGGGAGCTGAGCTGTGATGTGGGTCTAGAGGAGCCTTCCCTTGAGCAGCATGGGGGGAGTCACACAAACCCCTGCCAGCCAGAAGTTGTTCGTGGTGCCAACTAAGAGGCATCAAGGGAAAGAGATTCTCCTTCCCCTCATGAGGAAAGGACAGGGGTATGGGAAAAGACAAAAGAACATGGAAATTAAATATTATCACTGCACACACACACCATCCTTCAGGACTGTCCAACAAAATTCACGCTTGCAGTATTTGGAAAGACTTGCTTTTGGCTACAGTCAAAATAGGCTCGACTGTGAAAGCCCCAGGAGCTCAGGGCAGTCGAGTTACTGCAGCAACTTGCTCGCAGTCTGCAGCACCTACAAAGGGAACATAACTTCTGCATGGACACTCCTGGCCGGCAGTCAAAAGGATAATAAGATCCAAAGACTTTTAAAAGAAAACGGACAATTTCTGACTTAGACACAGACACATATTTTAGTGGTGAGAGTACTTAGCCACTGAAATAGCTCCTCGGTGCTTGTGGTGAACTCTCCTTTGCAGAGAGTCAAGACTTCTCTCACCCCAAAAGGTACAAGTATTTAAGTTCAAGTACAAATTAAATCTGGGTATTTCCAAGCTCTATACAGGGTCCCTTTTGGCTGCTGAGTCTATGAATGAGTATTATGTGAAGAGCATTAGTGCTACCAGAAAAGCAAAAGTTGAATACCGGACTCAACATCACTGCTTATTGGGTTTTGAAGGTGAAAAACTGGGAAGACAACTGGGAAGACTGTCCCTCAACATTAGTTGATATGAGAGAACTCAGAGATCTCATCACTTTTGCAGAGGTTCTGAGCTGAATGCACAACTGTACTCTCATACAAATAAAGGACATTTTAGATAGTAATAATAAACAGTAAGAAATATCATCAGTTAAGAAGTCTGTGGTAATGTATTAAAATATGGAAATGAGATATGATGCTGTTATATTATAACTTGAAGAATTGCAGTGAGCTGAGAGGCTAATCACTGCAGGCATCTGTTGTTATTAAGGAGATTAGAATTGAAGAATAGTATTGAAACTAATTTAGCAGATACAAGAAAACAATCATTCTCTGACCTCTGTGCACATATGAACCACATACACAAACTGGATATTTATTCATATGCCCATCAAGAACTATAGTAATAGTTTATATAGTAATAGTTTATATAGCAGTTTCCATTAGCATGAAGACATCTATTAATATTTATATAAATATGTATATTTTAGAGAAAACTATTTTTAACCCACAATTTAAGTGTATATGAAGCTTGCGAATTGCTTGCACATTCACTTAAAATGATTTGCTTCTACTGGCCTTTATAGATTTTCTATATTTACATTGGCATTAGAGCAAAATCTGACCCTGGATATCTGGATGTCTGGATGTCATGGGACCAGGCAGGAAAACTGAGCTTCTGTGGCTTCTTTTTTGTGGGATAACCAGCTTCTCATGTTTGTCCATCAGATGATTTTTTTTTTTTTGAGTTAAGCTCAATGAAAGGCCAGTTTTAGTAGCACAGATCCAAATGGCACTAGATGCCACTGTAGTGCCAAACCAGCAATGGCAGCGATGCCCAAAAGAGCACAGAAGGAGGGTATCCCATGTGGGACAGTATCCTTGTGTGTTTGCTTGCTTGTTTCAGAGCAATCTGAGTGCAAAATTGTCATGACAAGCCAAGTGCAAATTAAATGTCACCTATATTAAATCGTATTTCTAATTCTACTTTCAAAGGAAAGCACTGAATAACATTTGTTTTACTAACTGCAAAAACACTGCAGAGAGAACAGGGTGTCCAGCTCGAGCAGGTGGATGTGTCAGTAGAGATTTTAGCAGAGATCTGCCTCATTAGACTGTACATCCACTTACCATTTCCTCAAGTATTCTGGTCTTATGTAGTTCTCCCCTCTCCTTATTCCCCTGGGTCTCATATATGACCCCCCAAGCCCTGCACTTCCTTAAGTTACACTCTCTGTTATCCCACCGCATTACTGCTAACTCCCTGGACTCTCCAGCAATCTCTTTGCTCACGATCTGCTCCGACAGACCAACGCACCCACCTCCTTGTGACTTCACGAATAAATCTCTGGAAAAGAAAGGTTTCTGTTGCACCGAACAGCAGAAGCTGAATTGCTTGGAGTCAATTATTGGAAGAAGGGAGGATAATCAAAAGGAAGCACAGTCTTGGCCAAGTGCCGGTCTCTAGTGATTTTTCGGAGATAAAGTTTAGTGCTAATGGAAACTGCCCTTATCTGTGCTTGTAACATAACCTCAGCACTGGCACCATTACTCACGCTGAGTAATACTTTAATATGTAAACAGTCTCACTGAATAAGTGAGACTAGTAAGGGTGACGGAACTTATACTGTAGCCCAGCTATGATAAATTGTATGTTCAGTGAACAGATTGGGCATAGAGGGTGGAATTCTTTTGCCCAAATGTAAATAAATGTCGGTATCTGGTGTGATCATCTCTAGCCAATGAAAAGAACTAGGAATTTCTCTTCGGAGAGATCACTCTGCGTAATTATCTCATCCCAGAGCAGATATCTGTCTTCGGTCCAGTGAAGTGCACCCCAAAAACATGTATTTTTCTCCAAGAAAGCCTGCAGCAATTAGCTTTGATGTAGCAGTTAYATTGCAGACCGGCAAGACTAGGAGAGGTGAACATCATGCTGCTTTTTTCCTACAATTTTGATCCCTTGAAGTAAAGAGGAATTTAGATACACACAACATCCAAAGATATCTGTAGACAGACCATGCCCACCTACATAGGAAGGATACAGCATCCAACATCCCTCTGCTAAAGGGATCTTGCTGAACAACTCGTGTTAGGCTATGTGTGGGATTAAATGAAATTCTGCTATTTATTCCCTCATTAGCTGTCTATCCATGAATGATAAAAAGCTGTAAGATTCCTAACTAATTGTGCACTGTGGATTTTACAAGAGCATCTCAAGGGAGGCTGGCTGAACAGCTTTGAAAGCACTGGGAGACCAACTGACATATTTGGGTTTTCCAGAAGTTTACAGCAAGACGCCAATACATTATTTAGAAGGTAATTGAAAAGGCATGTACTAACAGGTAAAACCTTCTTGATTCATTCGGCTGCAAAACCAATCTGCAAATAAAAGCCCTTTAGAAGKGAGGCTAGTTCATCATCACGACCATGATGTAGACAAGATGTACTTAATTATTAGAGGTCTGAAAAAAAGTAAGCTTGACATTTGCAAGAAAATACGACACCTCAGAAAAAGGAAATTACTGCTAATGGAAATATCTGAGGATAAACTGGAACCTGAGAACCCACTGTTGGTGGCACACATATATTTATTTAGCACATACGTATTTCCAYGTGTATATATGGATCTTTGGCAGAAAAATGTCAACAAAGTGCCTGGCTTGGAATGGTTTCACTACAAGGGCTTATGCTGAACACAAACATAATGACAGTGCTGATCTTTGATAAATATTTGTAAGGCTTCTGTAATCTAATCAAAATACGAAGAGCAAGCAGCCAGAAAGTTGACAAATTTGAAAAATGCTGCCGGGAAAACACTGAAAATTGATTAGGGATGCAATTATAGCCCTGAGCCTGTGCAGAGGGGGCAGTGGTTTGAAGGGGAAAAAAAAGAAGAAGAAAAAACACAGGTACACAGCTCTGTGCAATGGGATCAGGCAAAAACTTCGGCAAGCCTAGAGGAGGCCTAGCATGAGCAACAGGGGGGAAAAAAAAAAGCCAAAAAAGCCAGAACAAACTAGTAATAAATATGGCTGAATAAAAAGTTTCATATGAGAAAATGCTGTGATAAGATGATGTTCTCAAATAAAATGTAGAGGCTGAGGGGTGTCAGAATTGCCTCCAGCTGTACTTTTGTC